GGCTGAATTCCAACATATAGAAGATAGATAATGAACAGGAAGTACAAACAACAACAAATAAATAAATAAAAACAAACCCCAAACAGAATCAAAGCAAACAAACAAACAAACAAAAAAAAAAGACGTTATACCTTAGGGGTTTTCTAGCAGATCTAATTCAATAATCATATGATTCAGAACCAGAGCTTGTTTTTTGTCCATAAATTTAACAGATGAGAGGAAGAGGCAGAGTTCTTTGTGAAAAGTACAAAAGGACAGCTTTGTTTTCAGAAAACGACATTTGTGAATGAAGAATTTGCCCATAATAATCATTACATTTAGAACACTTTCAAGCTTCTTTTCTTTTCTTAGAGAACTAAAGATAATATCATTTTTAGAAAATTCAAGTAAAATTGGAATCTTTGGGAAGAGCCAGTAGTGCACATCGTTCCACAGGGCTTTACAGAATATACAATTATAAAATAAATGTTCTGTTGATTCAATATCCCCATCACAAAAAGAGCAAGAATTATTATCAATAGCAAAGCGACGTCTGAGAAATTCTTTGGAAGGGTAAATACCAGAAAGGATTTTGTAGTGGACCTCCTTAGCTTTGAGGAATGGGAAGTTTTAGGTAATTGTTTCATTAGTAAAAAACATTAGTAAATAATTCCCTAATTTGGGAGTTTTTTAGACTGTTAGCTGTAATGTTATGCCCATTTACCAAGAGTTCAGGGAGGTCAGGGGATCTATAGTCAGGGTTTTGAAAAAGATTATATGCTGTACATAGAATGTTTTGAGGGATATGTGCTCCAGTCCATCAGTCCTTTAAAGTGCTGGACACCGATGGTAAATTGGCATCAGACCCTAAATAAATTGTCCTCTGCTGTTATCCATATTGCTTCAGTCATTCTTTGGTGAGTAGACGTATTGGTTACATAAACACAATGTGAGCTGTTTTTTGTCTTATCTCTTGTTTTCTCTTGTCTTTCTTTTTTGAACATTTCTACTTTTTTGTGCTTATGAAGAAGTACAATTAGAACACAAATAAAAGAAGAAAAAAAGACTTGTTCTCATCAAATTGTAAGAAATCGTAAAATAAGTTGCACACACTCAAGCAACATGAATAAGATAACAGGCATATTACTTCAGCACAGGGGATTCTTTGGAATGCAGCAACCATTTATTAGATTTGTCCTTTATTTAGGGTATATAAAGTAGAAAAACAAAAACCTGGTTTAGCATTTTAATCAATTTAGTATTTTGAATGTAATGTTACATTTATTTAATGTAAAGTAGCACAATAGTTAGTATATACTTCGAAGATAAAATAATGTCTTACAAATGTGTATTTTGGGACTCTTTGATTCACAGCTGTTTGCCATTCCAGCAAAATTCAATTTACCCTTTAAACTTTCTCTGATATCCATCCATCCATCCATTCGCTACCGCTTTTCCTTTTCAGGGTCGCGGGGGGCGCTGGAGCCAATCCCAGCTGTCGTAGGGCGAGAGGCGGGGTACACCCTGGACAGGTCTTTCTCTGATATTTTAATTTAAATTGATAAAATAATTAAAAAAAATTAAATAACTGAAAAGCAGAATATAGTTCAATGAAATTTTAAAAAAAATCAATGAGAAGACAAAAGAGTTAAAAAAAAGTCTAAGTCTACAGAAATAAAGTACCACGATTAAAAAGAAAAAAAAAGAAAAAAAAAAGAAAAGAGAGAAGTAAAACAAGATAAAGGGAAATAAAATACCTCAATTAATCAATGTTTAAATGTAATCCATAACAAGCTTAATGTCTGAAAATCACACAAAAAAGTTTTTGCTGTGATGTGTCTGAGGTGACAAAAATATTATTTATTTAGCCCCTCATTAATATATTTTTTAGATTTGTATGTATTATAGCCCAGTGTTTCCCAACCACTGTGCCGCGGTACATACGTGAATTGGTCTGTTTGATTAGAATTCTCTTTGCATATTTTGTTGATCATTAAATAATAATGTCTTAAAATCTCATGATCATATTTAGGCAAGTAGAGCTAGACGACTGGAATGAAAGTAAATACATGTAATTTCCTCTGCAGAGATTGAAGCCTGACTATATGCAAAGTCTCCTGTCTGGATTTAGGTTTGTGACATCAGCATGCAAAGAGCTTCAGGAGAAATCTTGGCACATCCTAGCTCTTTTTCGGGAAGTCCTGAGAGAGTTGCTTATTTCTTTGGTAAAGATTTAATAGGCTATTTTAGAGGTCATAAACAAGTGGTGAGGCAGAGTTTTTTGTCTAAGATGTTAAATTCTCCAACCCATATCAGCCACAGTTCAAATTAATGTTTTTTTGATGATCTTTCACAAAATAATAAGAATAAAGATACTAAAGACAGGAGACCGACGTGTGTGTTCTTTTTTAAATTTGAATTAAATTTGAATTTATTATGTATGTGTTTACTGATGTAGTGAGGTTTATGGTGTATGAACTTGTGATGCGAAAGGTTTTTAAGAAAGTCAAAAGCTGTAGGCATTTTAGTTTTCAGCCACAGTCATGTTAATGGCAAATATGCTAGGTTGAAATAAATTTAGAAGGATTCATCAGCTTGTGGTCAAAAACACTGACTTAAAACAAATGCTGAACAGTAGGTTCAAGGTTTCATTGTCATTCAAGCGCATAAATTAACAAAATAAAATAAACATAAAAATGTGCCACGGTGTACAAGAATAAAATGAGATAAAATAAATACAATAAATTACTTGAGTAGATGCAGTGACAGGAAAGTCTGTTCTGATTTGACCTGCTGCATTTATAATAATTTATTTTTGCAAAGATTTCCTATATAGAGACTACGTAGTGCTACAAGTTACATACCAGCTTTCACAAATAGGTTCCAGTGGAAAGCTGTTTTATTCTGTTTTTTAAGGTAATATTAAAGGTAATCAAAGAAGAAAAAAGGGCATTGGCTTTTAAAGATTTTACATTTTAATATACATATCAGTTCACATAGTTAGGATTTACTCTTATTATTATTATTCTAAGACTCTGAGGGACTGTGAAACTGAAAATGCAGATGGTTCAATTTGACTGGGAAAGCAAACTGTAGGAAAAGATCTTGGATGTTTTAATTTCAGCTTTATCGTACATGTGTCTGTTTTATATACAACTATGATACAGGGTGTGGGTAATGTAAAGGATGTAAAACAGTGTTAAGGGTTCAAATATTGAGGAGGGATATAGGAGGAAATCCAAAATAACAACACTGGTCCGGCCGGGTTAAGTCAAACGATGATTTTAATGAACACACGTGTGGGAGATGAACACTGTACGCAGACAGCATCGATCTCTCTCTAACAATACACAATCAGTTGTTTTTATATCATCAGGGAAATTTATGACGCCCCCTCATGGGTCATCACATGCATAAGTTTCAAAACCACAATGACTTTTAACACAGTTTGAAAAAGCAACATCGCCTCATCTCCATGCCAGGTGTCTTCCTTTCGCTGCCGGACGCTGCCTTATCGTCTGGAACATCAGGCACACATTCTGCAACAAACTGTTCTTTTGCAGGCACAGTTTTGCAGTCACAAGCAAAATATGATTAACCTCTCACCTATAAATGAGTAGCATCCTCCCAACAGCTCCTCAAAGTAACTTACACTTAGACTCTGCTTTAGTTTCACTTTCACAAGCACGCTGTCTACTTTGGCACAGAGTGTACTCAGAGTTAGGCCTTTTTTTATAATGCAATGTAATCTACATATAAACATTTAAGATTATGAAAAGCATTCCAAAGCATTTAAGATTATAGATTTAACTCAACAGTTTAAAGTGGTTATAACTGCACCTGTAATAAAGGCTAATTGGGTGCCAATATGTTTAAACATCTGAATACAATATCAATGCTGTAGATTATGTTATTAATGCAATGATAATGATGATGATCATGAACATTAGCAGTAAAATATTTCTCTGATCTCCACAACAGCAGATTCTACACAGAACTTGCTTGGTGGGTGTTTACATGGAAACAAAATAAACTCTTATTAGATGCTTGATTGACTCCTAAGAAAAAGTTAATTCTTGGATAAATACGATAAAAATATAATCTAACTATAAGATGTTAATTAAGCTGAACACAATCAATAAATACATAAATAATAATTCTTTGTAGGCTATACTGTTTTTGAGGAAGCAAAAGTGCTGCACACTCATTTTGAACACAATTAAAAGAAAGATACTTTCATTAAAATATCATGAAAGCCAAAATTGCAAATATATATTCAAATTAAGCAAAACTACAGTCCTGAACGGTATGTTATTGCAAACTTATCAGGAATTCTTATCAGCAACATGAGTTGTTTACTTGCAGAGTTCCAAACAGGAATCCTTGCACTACTCTGTGAAGTTGGCAGACATGGATACCTGTGTGGATTATGTAAATTAGGAGAAGATGAAATGAATGACATTTCATTCTGTAATGTCAGTCCAAGTAAGGAATATATATATATATATTAGGGGTGCAACAATACTCGTATCGATATTGAACCGTTCGATACAGTGCTTTCGGTTTGGTACGCATATGTATCGAACAATACAAGAATTTTAATTTATTTTATCAACTTTTCTTCTGACGATGCTGTCTGTGTTGAGCGCTCAGTGGATCTGCGCTCGACAGTGCAGCCTAGGCGTAGTCGAACGCAGATTCACTGAGTTAGCACATGATTCTCCTTATGGGGACCTGATATGTTTAATATGCTGCTGAGAATATAGCCCAGAAGAAGCGTATAGTATAGCTTTTATTTTGGAAAGAGCCATTTCTCTGTAATAAACTCTCTTTTCCAAAGATGAGTGATTTGTCGATCAGATAGATAAATTTTTTTATTACTTTGTTGTTTCAGCAACATAAAATTGAAATCTTGTACTTTTGAGTTAAAATATATATTTATAATTTTAATAAATGACAAATTAAAAAGGCATGAACATTTTTTTGTATCGAAAAAATATCGAACCGTGAATTTTGTGAATCGTTGCACCCCTAATAAATAAATATATATATATATGTATATATATATAAAAATCCAGAAATGTTTTGCTGTTCAGACAGTGTCAAACAGATCTAATTTTGGTGCTTGTAAGATAGTTGCCTATATTTATTAAACCTGGAAAAAGTGTCAGTTTGGATTATTTGTTTTATACTCGTAGGTTATGCTTCTACACTGCCTCTGTGCTGTTGGATTTAGCATACTGTTATATGTTTGGCAAAATCATCAAATCAAACCAATCAATAAATAAGAAAACTGGTGTTAAGCGCTCAGCCACTTTAGGGAATCTCTTTGATGAAAATCTTTCCACTGGATTGCTTTCTCCACTTCAGATTTATGTTAGCTCCAGTTGAAGCCATCAGCTAGAAAACAGAAAAAAAACAAGACCTGTTTATAGGATCATTTAGATCTGACATCTTACACAAAATGTTCTAACAGAACAACAAAAAGCACATAATGTGATCTTCAGATCTTGTAGATACATCACATGTCCAAATTTTCTGTGATCAACTATTTAACTTGCCACGTTACCAAACAACAACAACAACAGCAAGTAAATTATCATTAAAGGAGTGCTATGGTAAATGGACTGGTTTTTACATAGCACTTTTCTACTCTATCTGAGCACTCAAAGCGCTTTATTCAACTAATTCATTCACCCAATCATGTTTTGTTAAGTGCTTAGTATCTAACATTCATACTCAGATGGATGCATTGGAGAACAACATAGGGTTAGTCTCTTGCCCAAGGATATTTGGCATGCAGACTGGAGGAGCCTGCATTGAACCCAGCTACTACCTTGCAGGTAGGACTGGACAACATGTTTTGGCCTGGTTTAAGTAGGTCATTAATACTGTATTTTCTTATTCTCTGAGCAGAATGTAGGAGGCAAAACACTTAGAGCAAAGATCTGCAAGACTTACTTGCTTCAAGATGTTCTCTTGTATGGTAGGGTTATTTAGATCCAGCCCAGAGTCTTGCAGGCTGATTCTCAATTTAATCACTTTGACTGTGGTTTCTATTATATGTGGAAAGGAACATATAAGCAGAAAATTGTTCATTCATCATTTCTGTGTGTTTAGTTCAGATATTTACACAGTAAAAACAACAAGAGATGCTGTAAATTAAGTACCTACCTTTGACCTTACAGACACATAAGAATGGGTATTTGTTAGAACATGGCAGTTGCCCCCATTTACCAGATTCATTCTTCAACAAAGCACCGCAGTGCTCAGTTTCTTCAGTCCAAATTTTCTGCTCTACTGGCCAGTATCTCAGTGAGGAGTTACTCTGGTCAGACCACTCCCAGGGGTCTTTGAAGAGTCCAATCCAAACATCCATACCATTAGCTAGACTCTGAATTATCTGATGCTCTGCATCATTCCTCACACTGGTCAGGTCTGTGTGGTTGGTTCTGCAGTAGTTTTGAGCCTCACTCCAACCCATTGTTGCTGAACTGAGAATATACTGCTCAGCACCTTTTTTCTTTCCTGATAAAAAGAAAGGAAAATTAAAGAAAAGCAAACAAACTTAATATACTTAATTTGTATATTGGTATATTGTAGCTGTGGTACTCTCTTACCGTCAAAGCATATAAAATTTTTGGCGTAATGACAAGGGTCTGAAGACAAACTCCTATTTTCATATGTACCACAGTTGTAATTTGTGTTGGAGCCCCAAGGCAAATAATTGTAGAAATCGTTACTTGGCATAGACCAGTGCCATCTCTGAGTCTTGCCTTTCCAAAGCCCAAACCACACAGCATCATTGTATTTGTTCTCAAGAAAATTAACAATTGTTTCTATCTGTTTCATGTTGTCAAAGGTGAGCAGGTCAATGCATTTCTCTCTGCAGTAGCTTTGTGCCTCATACCATGTTTTTGGACTATAGAATAAGAAGTTTTGGATCTGGTAGGGATACAAAGGTAGAAAACACATCCCTGTGGAAGAAAGGTCATAATTTTACGTCAGCATAACACATTGCTACTTAATTCTGAAATTAAGACAACAACTAATAGTAAATTTTATCATTTGAGAAGGTGACAGGGATTTGCTGTGGGAGATACTACCCGAGGAGAAACAGGGTTTTCAGAAATACTGGGACTTCACTGACCTGCAAGTAGAATTAGGTGTGTTTCCAAGACTGTAAAGACATTCATAAGAATAATGTAAGAACATTTATTTCCTCATATTTTAAATAATCAAGATCCTTTAAAGCAGAACCTTTACGTACTGCCTTAAATAATATCCAAGCTTTCCTAGGGGTACACCCTGGAAAGGGTTGCCAGTCAACTATCTATCTCTCAAAAAGTAATGTAAACATGACATGACATGAAAGAAGATAATGAAAGAATCTTACCTAATGTTAACTGCTTCATGATCTGTCCCAAAATTACATTTACGAGCAAATGTGTCCTAAATTTCTGCAGTTTGCACTGCAGTTGTTACTATGCTAGAACTGATTCAGTCTTTGGACCTAAATGTGATACTGACAAGGGTTTATCAGAAAGAGGTGGTAGTGGTTGACACATTTACCTGTATGCGCAAATAATTCTTCCTCAGTATGCAAAGCCTGTGGAAATCTGGACTAAGTAATGCAAATTATTCTTCTCCATTTAAAGGAAAAGTCAAAGTCAAGGCTTTAACCTGACCCTTAATATTGCCAGATATAATGGTAGTACCAATCCACAAATACCCTCTGGACACATACCTGCATGCATTGTTCTTCCAAATATGGCACCATACAGAGGGAAAATAAGTTTTCCAACAGTATAAGATTTATGGCCAAGATGAACAACAAAGAAATAAGCAAACGAAATGAATTTCCTTACTTTTTGTGCTAAGTTTATATGCTTTAGGCATTAACCTGTCATGGTCCTGGGTGTGTTTTGTGTTTTATTTATATTTCTTGATTATTGTTATTCGTGGTTTTAGTTCTTTTCGGGTTATTTCGTTGTAGTAGTTTCTAGTTTCAGTATCTGTACCTTCCCTGTGTTCCATGTGTCATGTTCATTCAAGTTCAGTTCAGTCAAGTCTGCGTCTCTGTGTCACTCCTGTTTTACTTTGAACGTCCATGTCTCATGTTAGTGTTTCTAGTTTTGCTGTGCTCCCAGCTGTGCTCTTCTCCTGTGTCTCAATCGCCGGCTTTTCAGTGTATTTAAAAAAGTGTGTTTCTCTTCGTCAGTGTTATGTTGTACCCTCATCAGGCTGTGTTTTATGTCTGCCTTTGTGTTCCTCAGTTAGGTTCGTTTTCACTGGGTCCAGCAAAAAGGCTGTTTGAGTTCACCTTCTGCCTCCTGGAGTCTGCATTTGGGTCCTCCATTGCTGACTGCTGCACACAGCTAGTGATGTTCGATTCGTGAACGAATCGTTCAATACTCGAGAATCACTTTACTGACTCGTGAATCATGATTCACAAGCCCAACTGACTGGCTTAGTAGAAATATATCTAGCTTATAATTAAAATTGTGTGTGTGTGTGGGGGGGG